AAGGCAGTATTACATTGCAAGTGTGTCATTGTCAGCCGGAGCTGTTTTTTTTTTAGATATTAAAATAATATTATTATTATTATTTGTGCAAGATAAAGCAGTGTAAATGTGCGGAGTTAATTGGAATATATTTGGGTGCCAGTTTTACAGCATTGAAGCGAACAATGCAGTAATTGTAAAATTACGGGACAATTACTGAGTAATTGTGCTGAAGACAGTGGGCTTGCTTCTAATGATGAGTTACTATTTGAAAACAAAAGTTCTACCCTAATGCATGTAAATAAAACATGAAAGTGGCTCATAGTATTGCCACACGTCTTTGTCATTAAAGGGGCTTTAATGGAAATAGAGTACTGCTGCAAAATCTTAAATGTAGTGTTCCTGCAGACAACGCAAACATACTCCGAAGAGTATGAATCCTTGCAGTCACGAAAGCTTCAAATCTAGAATTAACGTAAACATAAATAGGATAAGGAACACAAAAAACCTTTTATTTTTTTTTAATGTTATTTGCATATGTGAAGGGACACATATGTGGAGGAATATTGTGTAATTTTATTGCACGAAACACCGCATTTTTTTTTCACTATGCTTGATACGTATGGGTAATGTTTTACCCAAAATATGACAATTTGTTAACGACGGTACCGAAAGTCGCAATCTTAGTATTGGAACAACATATTTCTCGCCAAACATTTGTAGCGTTACACATCGGTGCCATAAAAGTGGCAATATGGGCTAGGGTTTGCAAAATCGGACTTTGTACCTGAGTCATAATTGTAATACAGTATTGTACAGAGAAATTTCCTTCGCGGAATCATGCTCGAGATTATGGTGAAGTATGGTCAAACAACCGCACCCCCCCCCCTCACCCCCCACTGACACTGAGGGGAGGCCGTCTTACTGCCAACAACAGAGTTAAAAAAATAAGTTGGGCACGGGCACGCGTGGACAAGGAGGGACGGACGGCAGCGGTGGGCAAGGCTGCTAAAGGAGAAATCACAGCCCGAGAAGAGATGGAGCGATGAGATGCCGGTCCTAGATGGATTGCCACAATGAGGAGCTGGCATTCCGAATTCTCAGGGAGGGGGAGGAGGGAGAGGCTGTCATCCAGCAGTAGATTAATCGTGGCTCTGGTGAAATCAGTGGCTCTTTTTTTTATTATATTCTTGGTTCTTTCGGTAAAGTCACGTAGAAGGGAAACAAAATAATAAAAATATATCTGACTCTTATGGATTTTGGCACAATATGGCATCAGCTGGAAACGTCTTAAGGTGCCCTTTAATTAATTAATTACCCGAGTCGCCATAGCAACCGTTGACAACTCGGGTGGCTGGAAACTAGTTCCTCGGGTTCCATTCTTCACATTCATGTATAATTGATTAATCTATTGTTACATTACAGCTGCTCTCGTCTACGATTCATGTGCCAATTTAGAAACTGGTCATCAGAAACATTTAAAACAATTAAATTATCACCAAGCCCGATGTTGTAAACACGTGCAGCCTCCAGCTCTTATTGTGCACTCTGTCTCTCGACAGACCTATGTCTGTGCGTGCTATGAAGAAGGGCCATTGCCCGAAACGACGCCCATTATATATTTATGTACCTTTTAATGCCACTGGTATTGACGAATGCGATGAGTTGTTTCCGTTTGTTATTTGTGCACTACTGCCAACCTAGCAGCGTCACCAATTACGTTCATTATACACTACGGTACAAGTGAGTCAGTACTTGGCAATACAAGCACAGTGAGTTTAACACGTAGGCTTTTGCAACCAATGTTATCTCCATATATATAAAAGGCAAAGTTGTGAATGTGTGCCTGTTCAAAATGTTTAGCGTACTTCCCGACATGCAACAAACTTGAAATTGGGCATGTGGGTACTTTCCAGACTGTACACCATGCAAAAATTGTAAAAACACACTTTTTTTTTAGAGGGGGGGGGGGGGGGGGAGCTTAATAATGCATTAATTTTTTTGCACGGCAAGTGAGCTGTGACGTCAAATCTGTCACGTGACCCGTGCATGTGGAAGCATAACGCATTGTAGTGTAGTGGTTAGCGCGCTGCGCTACGAACCCGGCGACCCGAGTTCGATTCCCACCACCGGTGACGATTATTTCAACCGGTCCTGGGTCTCCCCTAGGTCGACTCAGCCTCATACGAGTAACTGCTGTGGTGTGAATATCGCCACTGGGGAGACAAAGGCGGCCGGGTGTGGTGAATCCAAGTCCCGGGCAAAGCCGGGTAGTACAGCGAGTCCATAATAAAGGGGATTTTTTTGGGGGAAATTAGTGTGTGTAAATCTAAATGTGTCGTTAAACCCGCCACCACCCGACACGTAAAACAAACCCATACTAATTGGCTGCGTCGGGTGGTGGCGGGTTTAAAGACACATTTATATATTTACGCGATCTCACCCAACAAAAGCCCCCCCCCCTCTTATTATTGACAGGACAGGGTGGTCCAGATGTATTGTGATCCCGATTTAAATCTCTAAAACTTATAAAAAATGTATACCAATCGGCGTTGAAAACAAACATTGAATGAGCGAAGGAAAAAGATGTTGGGAACCAATTTAATTGGGGGTCACAAGAAATCTGGACCACCCTCTTGTGTACACAGCATAAGCAATATGAATGTAGGCATTCCTCAGTCTTCCGCAATCTTTCACGATCCTGCGATGTAATAAGAAAGACAAAGACCCCCTCCACTGTATAGCCTTTGACCGACTTTTGGGGCAAGTGCTGTTAGCGAGTAGCACCTATGAAGGCCGGCACGGTACGCGAGAGCGTGGGTGACCAACAATACGCCCGGTCGCCTTTGTCTCCCTAGTGGCGATGTAACAATCCACCTATCACCTGCACACCAATTGATATCATCGCTGCATCTCTAATGAGTTGACCCCCTTTCGGACGCGTTCCATTCCTTGGCTGCCACTCCATTATTGCAAATGACCTTCGGCCGTTCTCTCTTCTCGTTGGTGTGGTGTGTCCTGCCCAACACCACGTTAATTATCCGTGAAAAAAAAAAACCCAAAATGCCTCTCACCAGTCCGGGCACCCTACAATGCACGCGCGTTCCTCTTTTGGTCTCGGTGAATCAAAGCGTATGCCTCTCGGTGCTTCTTTGCACACTGTTTTGGTTTGTTTTGTCGCTGATAAGCTATAGATGGCGCAAACGTGAAACGCACGGTTTGCGAACGATACGACGTCAGTGACATGTCACGGCATGTGCCCTGCCGAGACGGACAGATTTTAGCGCACCTCAATAAAAAAAGTTGACTCTTGGCACCTCGTTTACGGCCGTACATATATTATGCTCATGAGGGCAAAAACAAGAACCCTTTTACATAAGTGGTAGACGAAACTGAACTTTTAATTTTATTTAACCAGGTCAGGCCCACTGAACTGTTATAGCTCTTTTTTTTTAGAAGCGACCTCGCTATCACAAATGATAGCTCAACGAAGCGGCCTATCGTGTGGACATTTATAGCAGCCAAATACTCTAAACGCTTGTTGCGAAATGTGGAGGGAAAAATCGGAGGACCCGGAGAAAAATCCACGCGACCACGGGGAGAATATGAAAACTCCAAATACACAGGCGTCAGGGTCGGGATCGAAGCCATGACCTCCTGTATACCAAGCGAGGTAGTTAACATCTCACCACCGTGACACCTTATAGTGTTCCGAGTCGGCAAAATCATAATTATTGTCATCATCGGTGTGACATTCCCCCACTCTACCAATTGGGTTTCCCTTAAGTAGGTGCAGAAGGGGGGATAATTAGTAGTTATTGATGCAGCTCAATCTACAATCTGATCCAATGATCCACCACCGCATTCTAGACATGTGCATGCAATTCAAGCCATCCATCAATCCGCTCAACTGCTGAATCAGGCGATTCCCCACGCCTCGGTGGGTTATTTGACCATTCTTCACCATTGCTGGAATTCTGGACACCAATCAGAATCAGAATCTTTTATTTAGGCTGCCGGAGGAATCCGATGAGCTATGAAGATATTTTTCACAGACGTCCAGTATGGGCGGGTCAGCAAGTTACAACAGCGAAACAATACAAACATACGATCGGAGTGCAAAATAAAAACGAATAATAAATACATTAATTATACAAGTCCGATTTATCAAGAATGGGCGAGGCAGCTAAAGAAAACAACAAAAAAACAGTCCCGGACCACACCAAGATAACAACCACACAGTAGACCCAATGTTATTGTAGTTAATATTGTAGTCGATAACATTTGGGACTGTTGTGCCCTGCCTGGAACAGACAGTAGTCAACAATGTTATTTGTGGCACTCCATTGAGGGACGCGCGTTTGGATTTTATTTGGCTGCGATAAATTTCCACGCGATGATAAGTCACTCCGTTGGGCTGTCGTTTGTGATGGCCAGGTCGCTTCTCAAAAAAGAGCTGTATAGCAGCTCAGTAGGCCCTTACCTGATGAAATAAAATAAAAATGTTCCATGTAAGATAACAAAAAGTAGAATAACTGTCAACCCATACTGCTAACCCGTATTCTTGTACAGGGAAATTATTTTTTTAGGTCCATGCGGCGTACGGCCGTTTCAATGCGGGAGGAAAAAAAAAGTCTATTTGTTTGTGTTTCTCCCTTGTGATGGGACTTTGTAGGATGAACGTTGAGATTTATAAGGGGCACGGGGTGACCAATCAGGTCTGAATTGTCTGTCATGTTCATACCTGTCAACCCCTTGACAGGTATGAAGATTGTTTACAGACAGCGGCACGGACAGGGCTTCAGCGGTGGACCCCCCCCCCCCCAAAAAAAAAAACAACCCAACAACTTGGCGCGGTTCGTGAGCCGCGCCGGACTCGCACGGTTAACGTTCCACATGGCACGGCTAAGGTTTGTGGCAGTGGTGGAGGGGGGGGGAGGGGAAGGGGCGTGTCCTCGTCATTGTTGTGGAACCGGCTGCTCTACCCGGATACCCGGGTCCGCGAGCTTTTAAAGCCACCCGGCAGCTGGCAACGCACCACCACCACCAGTCGCGCTCACGCACGCACGCGCGCGCGCACGTTTCTCTGGCTTTTTTTTAATTTCCCATTTTTTTAAAATAAAATTACCGATTTGATTATTTTTTTTCAGCATCGCACGGCACCGCCGCCTTTCCCCATTGCCGCGGGAATTTATTTCGCATTTTTTTTTAGCGCCCTCGTTAAAGTCTCGTCGGAGAGATTTTTTTTTTAATTCATTTTGACCCGCTAGCGAGTGCAACAACAAAAACACAAACAAAATTACCACCTCCCAACCATCAACCAAACCAACTCTCACCAAGGAACAATGTACGGAGGCGAGACTCGCACCGTTGTGCGGCGGCCGTACAAGCTGATCGCGGCTCTCTGCGCCTTCGGGGCGGCCGCTCTCGAGGCCGTGTCGCTCGGCTCGTCCGCCTGGGTCACCGCGGAGAAGTTCAGCCTCTCGCTGTGGCACTCGTGCCGCCAGCACACCTCGGCGTGGCTCTGCGTCTCCGCCCTCTCGCATGGTGCGTATGCCGACTGCGGTTTTCGAAAAGCAATCGGCGAGCGCCGTTTGGAATTCGTGCCCCGCATAAGGCGTGGTGGGTGTGGGAGTCCGCGGCGCGGGGCTCGTCGACACGGGTTCGATCCCCGCAGTCGGCGATTATAATTTTTTTTGTTTTTATCACGTAACAGGTCGCTTTATCGCGTAGAAAGCCCCGTGAAGTACGCTTTAGTGTAAAATAAATAAATGTGGAAGCCTATTATGAGGTTTTTTTTTTGTACAAACTGGTCTACAATGTTAAGAGTGTGAAAAAATTAAACTTGACGGGAGCGGTGGCGCAATGGTTAGCGCATCGCGATTTAAAACCCGGAGGATTGTATTCCCATTCGCGGCTGTCATCAGTGGCGAATGATAACTGAACTTGCCACCCCCACCCTCCCCCCTCGACAACCCTTGCTTCACCGAGCCGCACTGACCAACTTGGTGAAGTATGGTCAACGCCCATGGCTAACAAGGCACGGGGAGTCCCCTCATCCAGCAGTGGATAGACCAAAGAACCGTAGAATAATAATAAAAACTGCGGTATGATGTACCAAGTATAGTAACGATATGCATCGTGCTCAACTGTCATGCAGTTGCAGTGTGACTCTCCGTATATTAAAGCTAACGTGACACATTGGTGGTGAGCGTGTGTTGTGGAAGGTTCCCGTGCTCGCCATTGGAACGTGGAATGTCCACAACCAACTCGCGCATGCGAACGGGGACACGGGCGCACTGCCCACCCATGTTTTCGCTACGAACCATTTTGTTGCTGTTGTTGTTGCGTGAGAATTGCGTTCGTTGTCCTGACATCTTAGGTACGGTGTGAAAGAAGTTCCACCCACGTGTATGCATATCTGGAAAGCTAAGCAGGCGTTTGAGCCTGGATTAGTCCTTTGATGGTCGCCCACCAGGCAAAAGAGGTCGCTATCGGCTGCTGTGGAGGGGGCTTCGTGGTGGTTGCGAGCGAGGAAGCCACGGTTGTACCGTACCGCTCTATGCTGCCGCACCTTCCCCCGACACACGCTGACCAGCGTGGTGAAGTATGGTCAAATAACCCCCCCCCCCCCCCAGCGGTTGTCATCCAGCAGTGGGTTGACAAAAAGGGCTGCACGGTGTCTACTTTACGCCGCTTTGAATACGGGATAAGGGTTAAACTCTTTCAGTGCACGGTCAATGATACACATTTGTTTTAACACGTAGGCTGTCACATTTGACTCGTGAAAATCAAACGTTGGGAAGGCTTTTTTTTAAGGCTGAGGAAGCAGGTTTAAGTTCTGTTCATGTTAGTGTTCCTCTACCGTTAGACTTGTACAGGATTAAGGCTAAGTGTTGACGATAGATTTTGTTTACAGGGTTTTTTTATTTTATTTTTAGAGGGTGCAATGTTCATTCAGGTGTGTGAAAGGTGGGGATTGGTGTATCGTGGAAATATTGGGGGCAGGTGAGAGATTCTTGACACACCAAAAAAAACCCGGGTATGTCCATGCACGCTAAATGTAGCCCAGTTAGGTTTTACATAGCTATTCACATTACTTATGTTATACAGAATATATACATAATACACACACAACAAAACGTTAACCCATTATAAGAGGTAAGTACAAAATAGCCCGACCACTGAAAACCCACCGAAATGTTTCAGCTAATCCTGGAGTGCGCATTCTAGTTGCTCAAGTACTTATGTAGATATTCTTAGCTCTTTCGGTAAAGTCACGTTGAAGGGAAACAATAAAATAATAAAATATATATAAAACAAGAAAAATTCTCACGACGTTTCGACCATAACACAAACGGTCGTCATCAGGTGTTGGTTTTTCACACCTGATGACGACCGTTTGTGTTATGGTCGAAACGTCGTGAGAATTGTTATTGTTTTATATATATTTTATTGTTTCCCTTTAACGTGACTTTACCGAAAGAGCTAAGAATATGAATGACTGCAGTCACGAAAGCTTTAAATCAAAATTTACTTATGTAGAGTCGAGGACTACTGGCACGTGATATTTCGACTCGATGTTTGAGATTCAAGAGGGGCCACGTTAAATAATTTTCCCAAAAAGTTTTTTTTTTACATTTTGCAACAAGTTCCGGAATAAAACTCCGTTATAGATTCGCGGGACCCCTTGATCCACCACCCGCGTTCTTTTGAAGACGATGTATAAATAAGATTGAAAAGTATGAAGCAAAGTACTTATGCAAGGAGTTCGGGTTGACCTTAGGGATTGGGGTCTTGTGGCAAAGTATACACAGCGTGTTTCGCTGTGTGGTCAAGTGACCTCGAGAGATTTTGTAACCAATGGGAATCTTCAACAACCATCGCTAGCAGCCTCCCCCCACCTCAACTGCTGAAGCAGGAGGATTTGTTTTAAAAAGAGAGAACCCCCTTGTTATACTTCACCATTCTATGGCAGCATTTTCCACCAAAATGTAACAAAAGGCTTTTTTTTTAGCTGGAGTTTAATTAGCAAAGTATTTTTTAACTTTTAATATTTACTCATTTGCTCAAAACGGTTCCCTTTTAAATCGGGTTTAGTTTTTTTTAATAATCACGGCGCTGACGAAATGAAAACAGAGACTGCGATAATGTTCTGTTTACAAAAGCTGTTTGATGGCGTGCCAGGGTTAATCTTTAAAAACGGCTGAATTATTTATCTGTTGGTTCATTCCCCTTCGGTTGAGTGATGACAAGCGATTGAAGGAGAGTATATTTTGCGAAATAATTACGAGGACGATTCGCATGGATTTATTGGCCGATGTGTGAGCAGGCACGCGGGGTGAATTTATTGTTTACAGAGGAGTGAACCCGACCCAAAAAATGGGCTCTGAACGTTTATTCTTTACATGGCTGTAGTAAAAAACCACCCAAAGCTAGCGTCGCTTCACCACTCTGGTTGAACATTCCTGAGCAGGAAATCACCCACGCACATTGTGGGTGACGTCACTTGGTGATGTTTCATTCGTGACCAAAATTGTGTTTCAAAAAACGGGAGCTTTGACGGCGCTTACGCCCGTCAACTGCTCTGCACTCGCGAAACTTAACCCAATTTGATGAAGCTGGCCAAATCGAGCAAAGGGTCTGCCCAACAAACAACAACAACAACGACAAAACACGTGGGGAAACAGCACCAGAACAGAGAACAAAACATCAAGGAATTTTGATTTAAAGCTTTCGTGACTGCAGTAATTCATATTCTTAGCTCTTTCGGTAAAGTCACGTTGAAGGGAAACAATAAAATAATAAAATATATATAAAACAATAAAAATGCTCACGACGTTTCGACCATAACACAAACGGTCGTCATCAGGTCATCATCAGGTGTCACACCTGATGACGACCGTTTGTGTTATGGTCGAAACGTCGTGAGAATTTTATTGTTTTATATATATATTTTATTGTTTCCCTTCAACGTGACTTTACCGAAAGAGCTAAGAATATCAAGGAATTTGCATGTCTTTTCAAAATATGCAATCACCATTTGGCCATGACAGCCAACCCACGTGCAGACAGCCAATTAAACACCACAGAACGATAAATCCCCACGTTGAAAGAAATGAGATGATTCATGCATATGCAGATTTTGTTTTCTTTTGTCCTCCCAGAGTTCTTTGCAGTGTCATCTGCACTGCACCATCGGTATCTTTCCCCTACCATTCAATACTACCCCTCCCCCGCGCACCTCCTGTCCCCATCTACCACATACATGACGCACACACAAAAAAAACCCTTCATTCTATTACACCGTTAAGCTTTTGTGATGGAAGCTACAAAGACCGCATGAGCTAATTATATACTCCGTATCCCAAGTGTGCAAACGCATGCCCTAAATGCATACAATGTTGTCCATCTCTAAATACGCAAAAAAAAAACACACCCATTCATAGGTTAGCACAAATTACTCGTACAAAATGTTAATAAGCGAAGAGTACTCATTAATAGCGGGGAGATAAAAAAAACAGCTTTCAGAACGTCCTCCCAAAAGGGGCATGGTTTAGTGTTTTTAAGCGGTGATGTAAAGTCATTTAATTATTACTGGACCGCGAGCTTTGGAAAATCCACACCAACTCGGTATCCCCCACAAATTAAATACCAGTGCTCCGCTAAATACCAAGACAAATATGCTAAATACAAAGACCCCCCCCCCCCAACCCTCTGTATAAGCCTTAATCGGACTATAATAATAGGGCTTTTCCCCTTTTTTCTGGCAACAGAACTGAACCATTTTGCAAGAAGTCACGTTTACATTAACCACAATACTTGCAGTCAGAATGCAAACAAAAAAAAACAACACTCTGATAATTTATGCATTGTTCTTGAAACTGGTCCACACCAGAAGACGGCTTTCCTTAGAGCCTAGTCTCATACGGTGTTCGACCAGACTGTTGGGCCAAGAATTGGTAGCGAGCACCTATGAAGGCCGGAGCAGCACACGAGGGGACAAGATTCTGGGGCCCCAAAAAAACGTCCCCCTGCGTGCAAGGGGCCTCTCCATCGAATGATTGAACCCCACGAGTGGCAACGTGGTCGGCGTGGATTGAAGAGAAGACTGGCCCACTGTGGCTTCACGCGTGGCTCCTGCTGTGTGGCCATAAGAACCGCACAGCTGCATGCATGTAATTGTCACACGTGTGGTAATGTCCTGCCTCGATTGATTTGCATCATTAGGCACGCGTTGCTGTTTATGAATTGCAGAACTAAAAAAAAAGCCAAAGGCTTTGCCCTGTAATTGCTTACTCGTATAATTGCGGTGTGCGGATTTTCCGGCTTTATACGGAGTGCTGAAGGGTTGCGTAAGTTGCGTACAATTCGTGAGTTGTACAGTGTTATGCATCACCACTAACCCCCACACCGTCACAATGGTAATAGTCATCACTGCCATCCTCGTCGCTAAAACCATCACAGTACTACCCTAACCAGAGACGAAATGCAATTATACTTTTAATCAATTCAAACGCGATTATTATTATTACATCGATTCTTCT